TCCCGGGGCTGGAGGGATCCTGGGGCTGCGAGCGCACGGCTCCGCTCGGGCAGGGATGGAAAGTTACTCGGGATTGCACCGTGGGGAACGCGGCTGGTCCCGGTTTCTCTCTCCGCTGCTTTGGGTTGGACTCGGCCAGCTGCTTTTCGTGGAATTTTGCCTCTACCTTTGTAGCAAAGCTGTACCGCTCAGTGGATGTTGTGATAGCATCCAGCCTGACTGGCAGAAGAAACTCCGACCTGGAGCCTTGAGCATGCTGGTGAAGATAATAAAAACGTCACGTGCACTTAGAGCAAATCTTCCAGTTTACCTGAAAAGCTGTCTGCTCCCAAAGGGAAGATCCTTCGGGATTGCCCAGCCTTGAGTTTCACTTTTTTTTTTTTTTTTTTTGGCTTCAGTAAGAGGAGAATGCAGAGTGCTGAAGCGTTCGCTTGCTTATAAGTAAAGGGTAAGCGCTCGAGGTTTCAGTGAATGAAAGGAGCCATTTATTTACTTGGTTACTACAAGTAAATAAATGCAGCTCCCCGCAGCGCCAGGGGCTGTTGGCTCGGGATGCAGACGGTGCTCGGCGGAAAGTAAAGGTAATGAGTTCCCGGCTTGTCTGGAAAGCAGAGGCCTGCCTTTGGGGACAGGGATGTTCTCTGCACCCGCTGCTCCTCTCGGACCTTTGCTGGATACATTTTAAAGCCTTGGACCCAGCTGATTTGACCCAGAGTACTTCGCACTGCTTCTCAAGTATGTGCTGACACAACCAGCACTTATTAACTTTCTTTCTCTTTGTTTTCCTCCTCAAGCCAGCTCTCTGACCTGTACAGATTTAAATGCTGTTCTATAATGAATGGCTTTGGAATCTAGCGTTTAAAGCTGTGATTTTTGGGGCTTGCACGTAGATTGCAAAGTGCCCAGTGCAGTTTGACAAACTGCAATGACAGGTGGTGGGTGAGTTACACTTTGGAGGGATTGAGGATAAACAGAAGTTTATAGCAGGAAAACCATGCTTCGTGCTGAGGTTGATATAGATGAGGAAATTTTTTTTTCTTTAAAATAATATACTCCTTGGAAAAACCCAGCTGATCTTTGGCATTATCCTGCTTTCTTTGTAATCACTCTTAATATCTGAAAACATTCTGTGTATTTCTGTAGATGCTCAGCTAATGCTTGAGCAGGAGAATAGCCTCCTGCCTCTTGTGTCTAATAAGATAATTGTTCTATTCCGTGCCCAGTGTTCTTTGCCTTGGCCTGGGAAGTTAAAACAAGTGGTCTTTGAGTGCTATGTCCATTCAATCTTAGTCTGGAGGAAATCAAGGGAAAACTCACTCCAGTTCCCTGCCTACAAATCTCTGTACAAACCTCCTCTGTATTCAGCTTGCAACTAAATGATAGGTAGAACACCCTACTTGACTTTGAAATTGATTCTCATCTCTGATTATTTCATTATATTATTCATATATATATAAAAGATTAGAACTCTGTCATTAAAAGATGCCTAAAGCACGCCCTGTTCTTTTGGCAGCAGCAATTGTAGAAAAATCTTTCTTTCACTGCTTGGGTCTTAATTTTAAAACAGCCTTTGAACATGCTAGAGGACTTGGGAACTGGATTCTGTTGCTTCTGTCCTGTGAGACCTTTAAGCAGTGATGACAGTTAAATGTTCTTAATACTTATTTTGGGAAAGTTCTTTCCTTTTCAGTAGTATTTTTGGTCACATCATGTTGTGAGACTGTAACTTGGGTTGTCCTTGAGACAGGAGAGGTTTAGGGCAGTGAGCAGCTATTGCTTCAGGTTCCATCTTTTCCATTTCCCCTGAGCTCAGCTTAACTGGTCAAGGGGTTTTATTATTATTTTTACATACAGTGGGGTCCAGTAAGGATTGTGAGAATGGATCCATATTTTAATCAAAAGTTAAGGATCTTGGTGATAGAGCTTTGTCTCCTGGCCCTGCAGTGGACTTCATCTGGAGCAGGCCAGTTACTTCTTGCCTCAATAAAGAAGCTGGTTTGGAGATGAGTTAGAGCCCATTCCATGTTGAAGTGCCCCCTCAGTTTCCATTTTTTATTCTGTGTTCTGAATCCTGGGAGCTTGGAGTTGGCAATGAAGGAGCATCTTCAATCTTTGGTCACTGAGTAGTGGGACCTTGATTGTGATGAGGTTGTGTCACTCTGTGGTTGTCTTCACTTGTCTGCTCATAGAGCAGAGCTGAACTCTTTGGAAGCCCCCCAAAAAACCCCTCTAAGTTAGATCAGTTGATGAAGTGGGGTTTGTTGTGTGCTCAGGGAATTCTGTGCTGTGCTTGGCAGTGCCATTGCTCCGCTTGCTGCTCCGTTTCCCTTCCATCCCTGCGTTTGTTTGCTCTTTGCTATTCCCCCCCTTCCCAGCCTCACGTTGTTCTGCTCTGCCATGTTTTGCTGTTTCAGAGCTTAGTCAGTGCTCGTTCCCAGGGGAGGCAGGGAGCTCCCGTGTTGGAGCTGGCAGCTGGACTCCCACTTCTCTGCGTGGGCAGCCATCCCCTCCTCCCCGAGATGCTCGATTGCCATCTTTGCGGGACACGGCTGAGGAGGAGGGCGAGACTGACAGGAATAATGGAGAGAAGATTTTCATCTTGTTTTACTTCATGTCGCCAACGGGAAGAAATTAAAGCCTACTTATCTGGCAGCCTGTGAGTCCGGGAGCTTTCCAGCGTCTATATGAACTGAGCTGTGTTTTCTTTGATTTGGGAACCTGTGGCTGATCCTGCTGCAGCGGTTGGAAAGCCCTGCTCCTTCTCAAATTCTTCCTAGAATGGGAGATCCAGTTTCTCTGGGCAGCCTCTCCTAGTTAGTGCCTGCCTAAGTGTGAGAAACTTTGTGTTTGTACCTCCTTGGAATTGCCCTTATTGTGTTTTGTGCCTGTTGCCAGTCTGTTCCTGCTGTGTGCCTGTGGAGATAAGGAGGTGGGAATAAGGGATACAACAGTGTTTGGAGAAGCCTGGTGCTGGAACAGGCTGCAAAGGCAGCTGGAGAAGAGGAAAACCAAGCTTAGAACGCTGTCACTGAGAGCAGTAGGTGGAGAGGAAACATTTTCATCGTCACCTTTTTTGGTGATTTTGTTTATCAGTTTTTCTTTGTGCTTTTTAAGAAGTCTCATCTTGACTAATAGCAAAGAAAAGAAACTTTCTGAAGCTTCTCTTGTGTTTCACTGCGTGCACTAAACAAATAGCTCCATGCATTCCCAATACTGATAAAATTGGCAGATATTTATGGCGTAGTAAAGCTGTTTGTGCTCTGTCACTAATTTGCAGATGTATTGGCTCAAGTGCTGGATGAGCAGGAGGCACTTGGCTTTCTGCAGGGTGAAATAGGAATTGAGTGGTGTTTTCAGTTAGAACAGAGGTGGACATCAGTGGGTTTTTATTAGGAATGTTTGAAGCAGTCTGATGCAGCTTGTTGGCTGCCTGTGGGGAGGAAGAGGTGAGGAAGGCTGCTGTGGACAGCTTTATGCTCTGCTTTAGAGCATTGGTGAAGGGGACAAGGGGGACTCCAGGCTTCCCTCTCCAAATTCGCACTTTCAGGGGCAGAAAGAGAATTGTAATGTGCCAGGATGCCTCAGCCCTTCAGTTGTGGCCATGCAGATTTTGGGTTTGCAAGAGCTGGAGGTTGTGCTGCTTTTCTGGGCTGGTGTGAGTTTCTTGTTGGTGCCAGTGGAACGGTGCTTGCCCTGTCCAACAGGCAGTCCCCAGAGGAAATCCAAACCCCAGAGCCTCTCCTTCTGCAGTGCTGGAGGTGCAAAGGAGAGGAGGGAGCTGCCTCCTGACCCTCAGGTGCAGTATGAGGAGAGATCCTGCACTCTGGAGTCAGGGGTCTATGTTCCCTGTGGTTGGGATGGTTTTTATTTGGGTGTAACATTTGAACTTTGCTGATTTGCTGTGTGAATACCACACCTGGGTCTATGTTGTTTGCTTGGTTAAAGTTATGCTGCTTTCTTCTTTAAATAGGCCAAACTATCTTGTTGCTTCTTTTCTTTTTTCTTCATTGGTTGTGCTGTTGGAAGAGTTGTAAACCAGTTTCTGTTAGTCCACACCCTGGAGTTCATTTTTTCTGAGCAGATACAGTATGTGAGAGTTTAAGCTTCTGTTTGGGGGGGGGAAAAAAAAGCAAACCTTGTGAATTCCACGACAGCATAATTACTCCTAAAATATGCAGGAGGCAGGCAATGCTGGGCTGCTGAAGGGATCAGGATCCTGAAAGGCTGAGAGCTTGGCAGCTGGCCCTGCAGAAAGCACTTACCCAGGATCCAGGGACAGACAGAGCAGCCTTTTGTGTCAGGTGTGGAGCTTGCACAGAACTCCCTCTCTGGGCTGCTTGTGTAGGGTTTCCATTCAGACCCTGCTCCACTGGCATCTCTGACTGAAAAAAGGAAATTTGGGTTTTTTTCACAGGGAGTGGATGAACTTGATAATGTCTACTTTAAATCGGTGTTGTAGGCTTTTTTCAGGGTTTGATAACTTATTTCTTATTTTTTTTCAGTTCTTTTTGCAAAACAGCTCTACCTGAAGCATGACTTAATGCCAAAAGGAAGAGGGCTGGTGAATACCTTGTCTCTGAGCTATTCTTCTTTCTCTTGCCACACGAGGCAGGTATAAAAGCCAGCAGGAGGGACTCAGCCTGTGAGAGCTGCTCGAGCTGTCAGGGTTCTGCTGCCTCAAGCAGCAGTGGCAGCCCCAGGAGACTGAGCTGCCTCTTCTGAAGGTGCATTCAGCTCTCTAGTGAGCAGGGATTTTTAACCTGCTTTGTGCTTCTCTCACAGGTGTGTGGTGAGGTGAGAGCTGTTGAGCAATGGCGTTTCAGAAGGTTTGGTGTGCCCTAGCCCTGGGATTTCTGCTGCCTTTCTCTGGTGCCCACACAGACTTCTTCACTTCCATTGGTGAGGCCTGCTCTGGTGTAGCCAAAAGAGTTTCTTGACAGCCCTCTAAGCTCATTCTGCAACGATGTGTTAATCATCCAAGGCCCTAATTGGTTGAACTAAAACCATTTCCTAGTTCTTACCACATTACTGGCTTTTCTTTGGGGAGAAATGGGATTTAAGTCAGTCCAAGGGTAGTCTAGTGACCCAGGCTGGGCTTTGTAGTCACTATTTATTGTTACAGGTGTTGGAATTGAGAGTTTTGGTGCTGCAGCTGCCCAGGGTATATAATGATGAACTATGTCTGCACCCACCCTTGGGTTCTGCTGGCCTCAGGGTGGGCACTGCACCCCTTTGTGCTGAACCACTTCAGCTGCCTGCTTGCAGGAGGTGAAGCAATTAGTAATTAATACCAGGGACCCCTTGAAGTCATGGATATCATCTTAAAAATAAAGCCCTGGATTAGTGCTGCGTATCAAACACGAAGGCTTTGTGTGTGTCTGTAGCTTTCTCTTTATTTGTTCTACATTATGTATGCTTGGATGAAAGATTACTCTGTGGCAAACGATTTCCTTTTCCAAATGAATCCTAAATTAGTTCTAATAATAAATATGCAGTATTGCATTAATTTCCATGGCAACAAGCTTGGTCCAGCAGGAGATTTTTCTCCTTAAAAAAAATAATAAATAAATAAAAGGCCTTACTCAGATACTCTTTCAGGGTTGGTTAAGTAAGTGCAGAAGGACTTTTGGGGAAGGAAGAAAGCAAAAAAAAAGCAGAGGAACGCCTTTAAATTCTCAGGGTTTTGTGTTTCTCCTTGACTCACCAAACTCATTTTTTTTCTAGGTCATATGACAGACTTAATTAATACAGAAAAAGATCTGGTCGTGTCACTCAAAGATTACATCAAGGCAGAGGAAAGCAAGCTGGAGCAGATCAAAAAGTAAGCTGTTGGTGTCATACTGCTAATGGTCAATCGTTTGAGTCCACCCTCATGCAAAAAGTGCTACTTTAAGGCTGATTAAATTTGTGGAATTTTTCCTCTGGGGCAAAGCTTAAAGTAGCAGGTTTTGCTGGGTGGCTGTTGTAAGTTGTTCTCTTTCAGCACTGCGTGGTGCATAAATAAGAAGAGACCTGACCGTGTGAGGAGCAGAGTCAGATTTTATCACAGCTAGAAATAAACATATTTTATCACTGAACAGGATGCTTTCCTTGCTTTCAGAATTATGCATAAATCTGTCTTTGAGGGTGTTGAAACAGTTTTAAGTGGAGGAGTGGTTTTTACTTTAGCCTTTGTGCATTACTTTCTGGTGTTCTGCCATCCGGAAGATCCTTCTTTGTCACTTAAAATTCAGATTTGCCATTGCTGCCAGGTTTTTGGAATGTTACAAGTATGTTCTTTACAGCTACAAATGAACACAGGAGCCTGCCAGTTGGGCATCCAAAAGTGTTTAGAAGCAGCTTATAGCAGAAGTGTTGTAGTTCTGTTATTATTGTATCAGAGACACTCTCTGAGAGGTCAGGAGAGTTTAAATAACTGGCACAGGGCTGTTAAAAAAACTTGGGGGGAAAAAAAAATGCCAGCGTTGTTTGTTGGCAGCTGGAGAGGATATTTGGGAGCTGGTCCTGCAGTGGGAAATGCAGGGAGGGTTTGAAGTTGGTTTGTTCAGTCTTTGGCTTGCTCTGAGCTGGAGTTGGTCCCCAGCAGCACCTGGAGCCCCTCTGTTTTGGAGGGAGCCCCTCAGTGGTGTGGCTGCTGGAAGAACCCCGCCAGGGATTGTCAGCGCAGGAAAGCAAGCAGGGACAGTGTGGGAAGAGCAAATGCAGCCAGAGGCACTGAAACACCTCCCTGCCCCAGGGAAAGCCTGCAGCTTTCATTCGGGCAAACGGGATCCTGGAACAAGAGGAGCTCCAGCTCATGGGCAGAGCTCCCCCCAGGCTACAGATCCTGGATTTACTTTCTTGTTGGAGTTTGGGATTCTCTGTGGGGTGTGGCTCTTTAACATCAATTTACCCTGATTGCAGGGTGTTGCTGCACGTCTTCATGTTGTGCGTCTGCTTTTTTTGGTGGTTTTTTTTTTTGTAGTTTTTATTTTGGGGCACTTGGGGTTGTGAATGACTCGTGGTACTTAAGAGAAGTTTGAGCCTGGAGCTGCAGCACCAGAAATTGGGTCTGGGCTCCTCACTTGGGAGCGTGAGAAAGAACAACTACACATTTCTTCATCCAAGCTTTCGGCACAGAAAGGAGCTCTGTGGTGAGAGGCAAGGGGCATCTCACAGATGTGTGCACAGAAAGGAGCTCTGTGGTGAGAGGCAAGGGGCATCTCACAGATGTGTGTGTCTGAACCTAAAATAATTTGAGACAAGCATTGAACTGCCTTTTTAGAAGCTTCAGAGGGGAAAAAAGGGGTGTTTGAAAGATTGAATAGCTTTGTTTTGGATTAGTCCTGCATGACAGCTCATAATGGAAGTGCTGGCATGGTGCTTTGGGGGCTTGAAGGAAGGAGTTCCTTCAGCAGGGTTCCAACAAGGACTGCAAGAGCAGCACAGGACTTGGGCTGCAGCTGAGGAAGAAGATTGAATAAAAGAAAAGGAAGTAGCCCTTTTTCTTCCTTTTAGAAGAGCTCTAAATATAGATAATGCAAAAACTTGCAATTTCAGTTGGCTTTTTTATTAGTGAAGACATTGGAGTAGCTTGCAATCAGTTCTCTAGTGCACCAGCAGACCTCTGCGAGACTTTAATGAATATTTTCATTACAGATGGGCAGAGAAGTTGGATCAGCTGACAGATACTGCCACAAAAGACCCTGAGGGGTTTTTGGGCCACCCTGTGAATGCATTCAAGTTGATGAAACGGCTCAACACAGAGTGGGGTGAGCTGGAGAGCCTGGTCCTCAAGGACATGTCAGATGGTGAGTGCTTGTGCCTGCAGCAAAAACCAGCATCACAGGCTCACTGCAGGCACTTGGGCTGTTGCCTTTCACATGTCAGGGCTTGAATCAGATTTGCAAATCTGCTTTGGAGTCTGAGCATTTGTGGAACTAATCTGAATTAGTGTAGTAAACACTTAATTGCTGCCTCTTTTCTTCAGCAAGAGTGGAAGCTCTTTAGCAAGGAACAGGATGTGGAATATTTGACTGTGTAAGACACTTGGCAAAAGGAAGCCAGGATGGTTGTATCTGACCTGTGAGACTGTCTCAACAGCTAATTAATACCAGGTGGAGGTTTGTAGTAAGGAATTAGAAGAAAGCAGAGCTTTCAAAAAGACCCAGGATTAGTCTCTGATAAGGATTCAGCACACTCAGCTTCCCTGCTGCTGTGGGAGGGACTGAATATGGCAAGGGGAAAGGCTCTGCACCTGCCAGCCAGAAATCTGCACCAGTGTCTTAAGCCCTTCTGAATGAGCGTGGTAAAAACAAAAAACTGTTTATTTTTGATTTTCCCTTTGCTTTCTTTTTAAAAAAAAAACCACAAACACCCAAACAAAATGTGAACTGTGCAGCCTGTGCTGTGAGTTCACTTCAGACTTGTGTGAAGGTGGGTTTTGGCTTTCCATGGAGCAGAGAGTTCATACAATTCCCAGGACAGAGGTGAGCATGTGTTTCCCTGTCTTTCCCAGGCTTTATCTCCAACATGACAATCCAGAGGCAGTTCTTCCCCAATGATGAGGATCAGACTGGTGCAGCCAAGGCTCTCCTGCGGCTCCAGGACACCTACAACCTGGACACGGACACCCTCTCAAGAGGGAACCTGCCAGGTGAGAGCCACCCATGGTTGTTATTTCCATTTCCCAAATGTCCTTATCACAAATCATTTGCTCTGTTCCACCTTGCTCAGCCTGGAGGTAACATTATAGTGAGGGGGTTGAGCTGGCTAAAATTAGTGGTTTAAATTAGTGGTATTAGTGGAAATTTAAATAGTGGTATTAGTGGAAAAAAGTGGTTTTTTGGTTGAAAAATCTGCATCTTTCTTCTAGTTATGGTAAGATAATCTAGTGTTAATAGTTTTTAATAAAAATCAATAGCAATAAAATCTTGCCTTGGGTGGGGTTTTTTCCTTGTGTTGCACTGGCAGATACCTGATGTTATTGCACAGTTCAATGCATTTTAACAAGTTCCTTTGAGCTTTAACTTCAGGGATTGTGTAAACTGAAGAGCAAAAGATGGTGCATACACAGACTTGAGCCTGTGTGGCGTTGCCTGAGCTGATCTTTAATAGATTCCTCTGTGCAGGAGAAGACAAAACTTCTATTTTTTATTTTAATTTTTTTTGTCAGAAAAACTTCTCTGCTGAGTCTTCCTTGTTTCCTCTGCTCACAAATAGTCCTGCGCCAGCTGGCAAAAAATCAGCTCTGCACAATCCATCTGTGTTTTTCCAAGTGCTCATTGTGGTCAGATGCCTAATAAAATTAAGGGTAATTGGCTTTATGTGTTATGATGTATAACCTTGCTTTTGGGCTTGGTTCAAGACCTGCTCAAGGACCTACAGATTCCTTGTAATGCAATGAGCAGCTCGTTGGTGTTATCTTCAAACAGCAGAGAAATACAAGGTGAAGTTTTGCTGCTTTTGAAGCAATGAGCTGTCCAGGCTGTGTGCAGTCAAGGGCAATGGCAGAACCTGGAAGCTCTGGAGGATAAAAGAGAATACCTTGGGCTCTGGAGAGCTCCAGAGGGGACCTTCCCATGTGGTCACTTGTTTGTGCTCCTTTTCTTCATTCCCAGGGAATTTCTTTTGGTCCAGAATCCCAGCTACTGCCAAATCCTTGTGTCCTTTGAGAGTTTGGCAGGTTGAGGCTCAGGAAGCTGCAGTTGCTGCCCATCACAGGATGGGCACAAGGTGTTTAGTGAGGGTGAGGGAGCAGGAATGAAGAGCAGAACAGCTGCCCTATTTGAGCACTGCAGAGCTCGCTGTTAGAAACTCAGAATGGATTAAGATGTAACCAGGGATGTAATTTCAGCTGTAACCCTGGCAGGTCCTGTTTCCCTTTTACAAGATTAAATTTGGTTTTCCATAGGGCCTGTATTTCCAGAGGCAAAAATAGGAATCTGTATTTTGCCTACTAGTGCTTTAATCTTTCAGAGGTCACTTTAAATGTTTCTATAAATGACTGACTTGAAAAAATCCCAAGCAGCTGGGAGTTCACTCCCTGATGTTTTCCTTTTCCTCCCCCACCAAGTTGCCACTAACAAGTCGTGGTTCAGTAACATTTTGAAAGTGATAATGTGACATCCTTGAAAACAGAGTTCTGAAACTTCAAATTTGGCTTATTTTTGCTCTTGCTGGAAGTGGTTGGGGTTTTGAGGAAGGAAGGTTTGTTTAATTTGATTTTTCACTAGTGGTAGAGACATTTAGCTGTTCGCTGGTATTCTGGCAATGGAAAGCTGCATCTGAGTGCTTGTGTGCCAAGGATTTACAGGCTTTAGAGACTTCAACAAACAGCTACTGCAGAAGGGAGCTGTGGGAGAACAGAAATAAAACCCTGCTGTGAGGAATGAGAAATAACTCGGAATGTTTCTCAGAGGACCGGCCTTGGAACCATGTGTAAACTCCTTGTTTTGTTTTAAATACCCAGGTGTGAAGCACAAATCTTTTCTAACAGCTGAAGATTGCTTTGAGCTGGGGAAGATTGCCTACACCGAGGCTGACTACTACCACACGGAGCTGTGGATGGAGCAAGCCCTGAAGCAGCTGGAGTGCAGGCTTGCCCGGAGCCTGACCTGTATGTGTGTTTGTAAAGTGCGTTTTTACATTTAAATGGGGATTTGTTCCTTTGTACTGAAGGGTTTTTTGCCTCCCGGCACTGTTGGCTTCTCTCCCTATGTTTTGCTTTCCTGGGTTGAGATTGTTTCCCCTTAGGTAGAGGCAAAACCAAAATTAATGAAATTGAAACTAAGTTGGTGATACTGAAATCTCTGCAGATGATTTAAATACAAAATTCAGCATGCTGAAGATGAAACACTTGTAAAAACAAGGAATACGGAATACAGGGCAGTGAGATAAGAGTCTGTTTCAGGAAAAATGAAAGCATTTATTCTTCTGTAAATACTCCACTGACTGACTGTGTAACAGATGCTTTGGGAAGCTCAGAACTAGCCCTAACATAGCAGAAGCTACTGAGAGCCACTTACTAAAGAGCTGAAGCTAATTCTGTAAGTTAAAAAGCTTTGTCACCAGAAATCTTAAATCCCCCCCCACCCCAGGGAATTTTCAGGCTTACAGCCAGTCATGCTGTCCCAGCTCTCTCCTTGTCCCATTCCCCTGTCTCTCCCTCTCTAGTGAGATGGGCTGGAATGGCCAAACCCTTTTCCTCAGTGCTGGGACCCCCGTGTGCAGTGAGGGTCAGAGAAGCGGTTGCGTGCATCTGTTTCCTTTTGCTCTCTGTAAATAACCACTTCTGGAGGATTCCTCAGGGGCTGGAAACCTGCCAGTGATCCCTGTCTGTTCCTCTGTCCATAGATCCTGAACATCAAAGAGCAAACGGGAACATGAAATACTTTGAGTACATCATGGCTAAAGAAAAAGAAGCCAACAAGTCCAGCACGGATTCGGAAGAGCAGCAGGAGAAGGAAACTGAGGTTAAGAAAAAGGATTACCTGCCTGAGAGAAGGAAGTACGAAATGCTGTGCCGTGGGGAGGGGCTCAAAATGGTAAAGTGGAGTAGACTGTTCTCAAATGTTTGAAACCAAACAATGTCAGGAATTTGTGTGTGGTGTGCAAGCAAGGAAGTTGTTAGAGCAGCTGGATGAGTGTGCAGAGTTGAGGATCATGTGTTGGATTTCTTCCCTGTTTTAGCCTGCTCAGTAGACAGAAAGTAACGCTGCCCCAGGCACTGCTGGCTGTCTTGGATGTGCTCCATCAGTGTAATTAATTGAATAAGGATGCTGGAAGTCCGGAGTTACAGACAGAATTAAACAGGGATGGGTTTTTTTAGCCATAATTTTATTTTAGTAGGGTTGTGTAAAGTAATGCTTGTAAAGTATTGCACAGCAACGTTTATGTGCAGACAGCACAAGTGAAATCATCTCTTTAACCCGTCACATAACGAGGTGGGGAGAGTGAATTGTTTGTGTGTCCAGGACCTGTTCTGTCCTTGGAGATACCAATGTGGGAGTTCTCTGACTGCCCCTTGCTCTGCCTCCTTTCCAGACTCCCCGCAGACAAAAGAGGCTTTTCTGCCGCTACTACGACGGGAACAGGAATCCCAGGTACATCCTGGGCCCCGTCAAGCAGGAGGACGAGTGGGACAAGCCTCGCATCGTTCGCTTCCTGGACATCATCTCCGACGAAGAGATTGAGACAGTGAAGGAGCTGGCAAAGCCCAGGGTAAATGCCTTCTGCTTCCTTGCCTTTGGAATCTTAAATTCCACGTGGTCGTTGGTGGGATTGTGTGTGGCTGCCGCCTCTGGAGCGCAGGGGTGTGTGCAGTGTGCTGCCTCACCTTGCAGCTCTTGGTGACATCCAGAGAATTTTTGGGAATTCTTTGTGGTGACTGGAGCCAGGTGACAGCAGTGCAAGGTTGTCAGGCTCTTCCAGCAGATACGATTTCAGCTGGTTCAGGTGAGGAGGAGAGTGTTCTCCAACAGAAAAAACAAACATAAAGCAGCGAGGCTTTACTGGAATATTCCTGACTTGTGTTTGGTTTTCTGCTTTTGGTTTTTCTTCCCTTTTTAAGTCTGTAAGGGGAAGGCAGCCATTCCTCTGGTCCTGGAATGCCACCTTGTTGTATAGAGGAGAAAGCATGGTTGTAGTCTCCATTTTGGTATAAGACTGGCTTCTGTCTCCCAGGCTTGGAAGCTGCCTGCAGATGAAAGAGCTTTGAGAGAGCAGGACTTAGTTGCTGGGCTTTGCCTTCTTATTGATGATGATGGCTCATCAACCCTGTTTGAGACATTGGATGCAAAGGGGGTTCTTGTTTCTCAGTGAGGAATAATCCAGGGCAGCTCCACTGTCTGAGAAAACAGGAATGTTCAGGGAAAACAGCAAACTGATGGAGTTGCCTTCTGTATCTGGTTGGTGCAGCTCTGCATCTACAAAGGCATGTTGAAGATGTAGTTAGTTAATTTATTTTTCCATCAATTCTAAAATAAGACTTAAACTGATAGAAATGTAATTTTCCTGCTTTTTTCCTTTGCTTTTGGCCTAAATGGGTTTTTGTCCAGAAAGAGCTGAGCAGGAGGAGATTAAGGGAATAAGAGCATTCCCTACAGGAGAAGCTGTTGCAAAGTGTAGAGCAGCTGTGGTTGTACATGAGCACCTGGGGGTTGAGGCTGTCTGGGCCAGGGAGCCTGAAGGGGGATCTTAAAGCTCCCTGATGCCTGAGGTGTTGGACATTGGGAAGAATCTCTTCCCTTGGCAAGGACTGCACAGGGAGGTGGCAGGGTCACCATCCCTGGAGGTGTCCAAGCAATGATTCGATTCTTGGCTGTGTGCAACGATCAGAGGTTGGACTTGATTATCTTGGAGGTCTTCTCCAGGCTCGGTGATTGTGTTCTGAGGTTTCTGAGGTAATGTTCTGAACTGTGAACAGGGAGTGTAAGCTTTTCCCTCCACGTACCTGAGGCATCTCCTCCTGCTGCCCTGCCAGGCAGCCTTGCTGCAGGGCTGGAAATCAGAGCCCCCATTGCTGGCCTGGAGGTGTTGGAGCTCCTTTGCTCCTGCAAGATGCATTCCACACCTGCAGAATGTGACCAAAGCTCTCCTTTACAGAGCAGGAAACTGTAAATGTGTGACTGCAAGCTCTGAACTTGCTGAGGTCATTGTTTTCCTGTCAAACACTCAGCTCATGGTGAAGACTTGGAGACCTTTATGGCAGGAGCATCTGTATGCAGTTACTGTTCCCATATTCCCTGTGGCTGAGGCCTTGCACGGCTCAGCAGCAGCAGGATTGTGCTCTTGGAGACTTAAAGGTCATCTCCTTCTTCCTGTTGCTTGGGATGCTGCTGCCCTCTGGGAAGAGACAGTGCTGGCTGATCTGTGCCCAGCCTTCTGCTGTGCTGGCAGGACGAAGCCTCATTAATTCAGCTCTGGAGTCTCACTGGAATTGTAGTTTGTGCCTTGTTTTTTTATGTGTCTGCATGGGAGGAGAGGAGAAGCAGCATGCTGGGAGCTCCCAGTATCTTTTCTTGTCAGCAGGTATGGAGAGAGAGAGGCCTTAGCTTGTTTAGCTTATTTTAACAGTGGAGAAATGCTTCTGATTGTTTGGGAGTTAGCATGACATCGTGCCTTTTGCAAAATTTGGGCTGTGCATCTCAGCCTTTCCAGTTATGAGTGATGGAGAGTGTGTCTGGTAGAACACGACGCAAATGAAAAGGGCACGTGTGAGGTTCTGAGTTGGAATGTTAACACAGATGGGAAGGCATGAAGTGAATGGAGCACAGCAGAGGGAAAGGAAAGCCTTCAGCCAGCAGTTCCTACTCTGTGTAAATGCAACCATGGCTGAAGGGGAAGTTTGTGAGAGCTCAAAGGAGTTCAGTGCTGCTTTTGGTACAGGAAGGACCGAAAAGGAATGGTTTATTCACCTTTGGCTTATGGTGCTGCCTGGATTCCATGTACCTGTCAGACTCCTCGTGCAGGACAGCGTAACAAAGCACCACTGCCTGCATGCCACACCACTGTGCCGCTCCCAGAACAGCTTCTTACAAAAGAAACCCAAGCTCCTGTAGTTTGCTTTATTCAGCCAACTGCTCTTGCTACACACATGGAAACAGGACTGGTGGGAAAAAAAACCCCACAAAACCAAACGAGAAACCTTTCTTTTAGTAAAGCTGGAGCCTCCCCCTGGTTCCCCGTGGCAGACAGAGCAGGGCAGTGGTGGTGGCTCGGTGGCGTTGTCCCCCTCCCCAGGCTTCTGAATGGTCGGATTGCTGGGATGCAGATTGTGCTTGTAATGCAACTTCTGATGGTTCGCTTCACAGCTGAGGCGAGCCACCATTTCAAACCCCATAACGGGAGCCTTGGAGACGGCACATTACAGAATTAGCAAAAGGTAAGAGAGCTCCATGCCAGAGGTTTTGGGCCCGTAATGAGTGTGTACATCCTGCTCATTCTGAGGAAACGAGAGGTGGGCTGAAGAGACAGCTTGCTGTCCACCTTGTGACTCCGTGCAGATCCGTAACAGGCTGGTACTGCTGAGTTTCTCGGTCTTTTCCTTCTGCTGGAAGTTCTGGGGGTGTGTTTTGATTTGTTCTTTCCTTTTTGGTCGCCTTCTCGAGTCTGTTTTTTTCCAAGCAAGTTTCTGCAGTCAGTGTGAGAAATACCAAGATGCCACAAAAGCTTCAGTAAAATCTGCTTTTTGTTTTTAATCTAGACGTTTCCTTTCCCCTTGCTTTTCTCACAACCAAGAATTGTCCTCCCTTTCTTTGGAAAATGCAGCAGACCTCAAAGTGCCTTAATGGGTGTAGGAAAAGCTTCAGGTCCTTGCTGTGCACACAGGGCCACATCTCCTTGTCCAGGATAATCCCACACTCCCAGCTGGGCTCCTTTACCTCCTGCCTGACACAAACCTGGCAGAACACAGGCTGGCTTCCACTGGGCTCCTGGTTCTTTTCAGCTTGTCCATTGAGTACTACAAGTGCTGAATTTAGCCAGTGCTTTCCAAAATTGGCTGGATCTGAAAGAAACCACCTGCCCCTGCCTGCCCTCCCCTGGTTTTAGCCGTGGTAATTAAAGATTGGCTGCACAGGCCATCAGCACTGAGCCAAAATTCTGGGAGGAGTTAAAACTTCTGGGTGAGGAGGAATTGTCTGGGAAACTCAGCATCACAAATTACTTGTAGAAAGTCTTGATTAAAAAAAAAAAAAATAAATAAAGGGAGGAAAAAAGTGAAAGGACAATCAAACCAAATTATTCCAACCAATTTGTTGTGATTTGGAACATGGCAGCTGCAGCTTGTGTTGCCCTTCCAACCATTGCCAATATGCGAGCATCGCATCCGGACCAATCGGAACCCTTTCAAACACCTGGGGCTTGGCCAAAAAGCAGCCTGCAAGGTGGGTAAGCCTTGTCCTTTCTCTTTTTGTAGCTGAGCCGTGCTACTGTTCATGACCCTGAGACTGGGAAACTGACCACAGCACATTACAGAGTCTCTAAGAGGTAAGGGGAAGGGATCCCTTGTCCGAGGAATCGTGTCCTGGGGCTGTGCTGCTTCAGCGCCGAACGCGGGCAAGGATTTTGTGCATCTCTCCTTATTCTTCAGCCTTTCTTTCAAAGAGAGTGGGCTAAGCAAGCTGAGCTATCCTCTACTGAAGTACAGACTGGTTGTCAGTGGTGGCATTCCGAGGTGGAGGTGCCCTCTCTGGCTGAGCATGGCTTGTGCGCTGCGACTAACGAACTAAACGCGGGCCTGGGGCTCTGCTGGCACCTCCCTGGCTCACCTCTGCTCCTCAGCTGCAGTGCCCACGCTTGCTTAGAGCTAGGAGCTGCTGTGATTGCTGGGAAGCACTGCCCTTTAAAGCTAGGTGATGGTTTTAAGGGATTTCCAGGTTGGAGTGATGGGAGGTAGTTGCTGCTCAAATAGAAACCCAGTGTTCTTTCAGCTGCTGTGGACAAATCCCTGAACTTGGAATGGCCTGGAGCTGAAAGGCTTTTATTTAGCTCTGAATTTCTTCACAGAAAGGTAAAAGTGCTTCCAAATATGGGATCACAGGAAGGTGATTGACTCAGGAACAACAATAAGTCTCAGGAAAACCACTGGAGCTGAGGTCCTTAAGGCCACTCCAGTGGCAAGTTGAAAACATTTTTATTTTTTTTTTAATGCCTCACACCTCTGCAGTGTGTTGGGTCTATGTGCTCATTGGCACATGCAGGTAGTAGGAATCCTCTGGAAATTGTCTGGGAAGCTCTTACACATTTGCTCCTTAAAACTGCCCCCACAGAGAGATTTTAGGAACATTCATCTTCCTGTTGGACATGTGTTGCATTTAATATTCATTTCTTGCTTTTAATGTTCAGTTGTGTCCATGTCTTGCCAATCTTGGTCATTTGTCACTGTGTATTTGGAAGGCTTCATTTATTCACTTGTGGGGTTTGTCCTCTGTGTCAGGCAGCTCTGGAGTATTTACTGAGGAAACTCTTTCATCCATTTGAACACCCCCTTGTGTCAAACCTGATGGGCTAATGATGGGAGTTGGAGAAGGTGACCAGATTACTGATGGGATTTGGAATGCATAATTGGTTCCCATTTAAATAGATGAGGCTTAGTGAAAGAACTTTTTACTTCACATTGTGATTTCTCATTAGTAGGAAGTGTTATTCCCTGAGGGCAGAAAAAAATAGTACAAGACACCACCACCCAACATTAAAGGCCAGTTAAAAAACCAGGACAGAGTCTGGGGAATGGGACCCTTAAATTCTTAATGGGGTTTGGTGCTCAAAAATGTGGCACTGTGGGACTTGCTTCCAATGTACCCAAGGAACTCTCAGAATTAAATCCCATTTTATTGAGCTAATTTTTTTAAATCTCACTGGAAACTGGAATGAAAATTGTAGAGACATCTCCAAGAAGTTGGGGAAGGCCATATTTTTAGGGTAGGAATAGCCTCGAGGGGCAGAGTGGGACTGCCCTTCTGCTTCCCCTTGCCTTTGCTCTCCTCCATGTGCAGATCTGCAGGGTGGGCATGGACTTTCCAAGAGAACTTGACACCTAAATCTGGAGTAGGAGGCAGAAGCCACCTCCACCAGCCTGATTTAGAGCCCCTGTGCTGTTCCTGCTGCTCTCCTGCACTGCCAGCAACATCTTTCCCTTGGAGCTGCTCGAGCCGGTCCGGATTCCAGATGAATCATTGCTCCTGAAAACCAAAAAATGCTCACTTCATTTTTTTAATAGATGACTGCTTCCCTCCTCCAAACATTCCTTCCCAGCACATGCCCTCCTAAATTACAGCATTCCTGTGTCTCAGAGAGCTACTGTTCCCTCGGTGGGACGTGGCAGCTCTGTGAAGGGGGGGGCACCTTGCCAGCGCCAGCGAGCCGTGTGTGCAGCACCAGGATAAACCCACCCACTCAACACGCTGCTTTTACAGATCAAAACTGCCTTTTCCTCCTTCTCCCTCCTCCCAGCAGGCAGCCAGAGCTTGCAGCATGTCATGGTATCCCTGTTGTGTCTCTGCTGCTTTTCTGCACACCAAGGGTGGCTTAGAAGGCTTTTAAACAGAAATGCCAGTCTTTTGTGGCTAGTGACTTACAGAAGTAGTGTTGGGATGTAATGTCTTCTCCTAGGCTGACCAGTGCAGATGAGATGAGATTTTTGGGGGTGGGATGCACTCTTGTGTGTTCAGGAGCTCCAGAGAATTGTTTAGTTTTTTCCTTAATGGACTGTTTCATCATTAAATTATTTCTGTCTAGAAGCATTGTGCCATTAAAAATCTGAGGTGCCTCATGCAGAATTATAAGAGGGAGGAATATGGGACATTCTGTGGCTGCCCCTGGATCCCTGGAAGTGTCCAAGGGCAAGTTGGACAAGGCTTGGAGCAGCCTGGTCTGGTGAAAGGTGTTCCTGCCCAGGGATGAGCTTTAAGGTCGCTCCCAACTGAGCCATTTCTTGATTCCATGAGTCAACATGATTATTCCTTTTTGTCAGGCATCTAAAAGTTGTTAAAAGCCCCCCCAGTGTGAATTCAGCATGCTAATGGAAGCATTAAATTTTTTTCAACAGTTCAGGGATGGCTTTTTACAAAGCCAAGTGGGTCAGCAAAACACCAAACTCGTGTGGTCAGGGAACTGGGGGAGTTGTGTGCTGATTATTAAGGAAATACCAATTCCTTCTGTAACTAAATCAGTGCTATCTTGAGCTGCCCTGCCGGTGGCTTCCCAGGAATTGTCCCTTTTTTTGTTAGGGCCCATCGTGGATTCAGAGGTGGCAGCTGGTCAGAAATAGGACAGAATGCAATGAACCTGGAAGTCTGTAAATATTAAAAGAAAACAAACTGCTAAGCATGTTTAAGGCTGTTAATGCACCACTGGTCCAGGGGAGTCTTTCTCTTTTTTTGATAGACAAGGGCTGGGAAAAAAAAAGCCAACTTTGTGTGAAGAAATTGTTTTGAATGAGGCAGAGACTTTTTATCAGCAAGGGAATAAGCTGGGCCAGCAGCAGAGGAGGGAATGTGGGACAGCTGGAATATTCTGTGGCCAGGCAAAGTCATGGATGCAGCTCTCATGACACTCCAGGGTTAAATCCCCCTGTAACTGCAGCACTCCAGGCCTCCCTGTGGTTTCCCTCAGCACCCAGCAGACAGGCTGGCACTTGGAATATGGTTTCAATTCCCTGTTCCTCCACCTTTCAAAGGATTTTTTTGTATGTTGAGGCAGTTAATTTTTGTTTTTAAATACATATAGTGCTCCCCTTCCTGAAAGGCTGCAGTATTCTCCCTGGTGAAGCATTCATTGCCACTCTAAATAAACAACAGAGCAAGAATGCTTGGGGTTTTCTTTCTTTGGCTAGTTTTCTTTGGTTTTTTTCCTTTATTAACAGACTGGACAGAGGCAGAGAGAGCCTGCACTGAAGCTGCTGGGTGTGTTGGGGCTCTTTTTGTGCCTTAAATGTGAGGTTAGGGCTGCTTGTGAGCATGACCTGGTCACCATGGCTGTGCAGCACGGCTGCTTTGGGGGATTTTTGTTTGGTAAATGCTTCATAGTCCATGTCTTGGCATCCTTCTGCCACCTGAAATCAAAGCAAGTTGTGTTGTAACACCTCCTTGTACTAACAAGTGTTGAGCAGTGGATGGGTCTGGGGATGTGTTTGTGCATGTCTGTCTTGAGAAATCTGATTTCTTTTATCTCATAGCTCATTTGTCACTTAAAAAATAATAAAAAAAAAGCGCTCGTAGAGATTCTGTAACCTGTGTCAGTGCCTCGTGTCATGTGTCATGTTCCTCCCAGGCAAAGTATTTGGGTGGGGATTTATGGTTTTTCAAAAATACAAATCAAAGAAAAATTTAATTTAGTATAGATGTGAAGGTTGATTTGAGTAATAAATACATAGATGCTGCTGATTCCAGTTTCCAGCTGGGCCCTGGGCACAGGGATTTCTGTCCAGCAGGAAGCACTGCTGAGCCCAAAAGCTGAGTCAGCTGCAAATAAAAAAAATAAATATCTGTCTCCATTTTCCTGCCAAAAACAAAAAAAGGGGGGGAAAATGAGCCCCAAATCATCAGTATTAATCACCCATATTAGTGCAGGGTAAAATGAAGGTGCAGTGGCTGGCACGGGGTGAGTAAAACAGCAACAGAAACAGGCATCAGGTGAGCAGATGTGGAAGAACTCAGTAGGAGGCAAACATTTTGAAAGATGCCTTTGGAACTGAGGCTGAACTTCCACATTTAAAAAAAAAAATAGGTGGGGGGTTAATTTGGGGTTTTTTCCCCCCCTCCCTTAAAAATCATTGTGTACCTGAAGCAAATGCTAAATACCAGATTTATAATAGGCTGTTCTGAGAGCAATTGTTCAATTTAATGCATTATTTGGTTACTTTTAGTAGCACTGCAGGGGTAAGTGATGAGAAGGGGCAGCTCCCAGTGCTGGCCTGGAAGTGTGTGAAATTTAGGGGAGCTGAGTTCCAGCTCCACAGACAAATACAGTAAACTCACCTGTTCCTGTCCCAAATCCTGCTCCAAAATGCATCACCCTGGGGGCTGAATGAGCTGTTGGGAGTGGGGTAGCAGCAAAACTGTGTGTGCCTGGCTTAAAAAACAGCTTGAAGCCCTCTTTGTAACACTCCCTTCAGCCCAGTGTGGGAATTCAGGCCCTTGGCTATACAGCTCCCTTAAACCTGGATTGGTTTTCCTAAGGAAAAAGGTGTTCACTAAATTCAGGCTTTTGTAACACCACGAAAACCCTTCTGGTCATGCTACCAAATCCTTGAAAAGTCCTAAAAACAGATCTCCCACTCCAAATTACCTGCAAGTGTTGCTGCTGTGCTGCCTGTTGTCACTAACTGTCCCCTCCCCAGCGCGTGGCTGTCGGGGTACGAGAGCCCGGTGGTGTCCCGCATCAACACCAGGATCCAGGACCTGACAGGCCTGGATGTCTCCACAGCAGAGGAGCTGCAGGTAAGTGGCAGTGTGGGTTTGGTGCTGGATGCCAGCCACCAGCTCAGCACCTCCCCGTGGCTGGATGGCTCGTGCTCACTCAGCTGGGGCTGCCACAAAAAGTCATTTTGTTTACAGGGGGGAAGAAAAAGTTGTCTTTGCAGGGCAGCTGTTCAGTGTGAAGTGGCTTTTTTTGGGGCTGAAGGGGAACAGTGATAACTGAAACTCTGGATGTGTAATTCTTTTTTATTTAGACAAATAAACTGAGTTTTGTGGCCGTAGGGTCAAACCTTGCTGCTGTTGGAGGCAGTAAAAAGTTTGGTTTGACTGGTACTCGGGGAAGGCCACCGGTGTGTCTGGTGTTCCTGGGATGTGGGAAACACTGGCTGTATGTGTAACTTGAGTAAATTGTAATTTAAAAGCACTTTTGTTTAGTTGCTTGAGGCCTTTAAATGAGCAGCTGCCTCCCTGACTGTGAGCAGAGCAGGAGTACCTAGAAAGCAGGACTCCCACAAAGTACTTCTGAAACCTGCTGTGCTCCCTGCCACTCTGTCAAGGTGCCTGCTGTTAAAATGGCCAAGGATCTGGTGGAAAATTGAGGTTATTTGTTTGTAACCAATTGGCAAGAAGGACAGGAAACCCTCTTAACTGACACAGTCAAATTCAGGTGAAAAAGTGCTTTAAATTTGATGATCTAAAAGCACCGTTTTGAAGAGAGGCTGAAAAGTTTTCTGTAGAAGAAAAATGCTTTTCTGCTCTGGGAAGAACCAGCTTCCTTACCTGGAGCTCACTGCAGTGCCAGTCTTGGATATGCTCCTGTTTCTGGCAGAGGCTTGACATTTCCAGGGGCTTGGTGTTTAAACTTCATTTCTGCAAAGGTTGTAGCTGACAGTCAAACTCTTGCCTGGGTAAAGACTGATTCACTAGATCCTGTGCTTCTCCTTCCACTGTAGGTAGCCAACTACGGCGTAGGAGGCCAGTATGAGCCTCATTTTGATTTTGGAAGGGTAAGTCCTGTTTTGTCTTCACATCTTTCTTCTTCACAAGTGCTGTGTTTCTCTTTTTCAGGTGGCAAATTATGGAGTGGGAGGACAATATGAGCCCCACTTTGACTTTGCACGGGCAAGTAAAGAGCTGGAGGAGAGCTAGACCTGGTGAAGCCTGGGCCTCTGGCCTGGGGCACACTCTCTGTTCTTCAGTGCATATTAAATTTTGTAGCTCTTCCACTTTTCTAATCCATGTCGGTGGAGAAAGCCCTCTAAACCACCAGCTGAACCTGTGGAGGTTACTGCCTGTAAGCTGTGTACCAGCAGACTCCTGACAACTGGAAAAAGTCATACCTCAGTGTCCTTAATTTTTAAATTGGATTTAAGTTCCTCACCTGTTTTATTCCAGCTATTTATTCCAGTAATTGCAGACTGCTGAAATTCAGTTGGTTATTTACTGGGCATAATTCTGTGTGGTTTAACCCCTTCAGATTAACCTTAACCCTGCCAATCCCAGCCACCAACTCTGAATCAGGATCTCTGCTCTGTAAGCACCTGCTCCAAGGCATTGCAACTGATGAGCAGGTTTTGTCTGGAAACACTGGGGTCGTTTCCTGGAGTAACAGTTGCTGGAATTTCAGTGTACAAAAATTGTGGTTGCAGGGGGAGGGTTTAAAAACAGAAGGGTGACAGAAATTGTTATCAAAACTCATGAAAATGTGGGTTCATGCTTGTAAGTCAAGTTCTGAGCACCTCTTAGCTCCTGGTTTGTCACTGAGGCTTCCTCCCTGCTTCCCAGCTGGAATCCAGAGTGGAGCGTGGCAGGGAGGTGTCCCAGCTGACCCTGGGAGCAAGAGCAGCCTGCCCTGGCTGCTGCCAAGGACTAGGGGGATGAGTGTAATTAAATAATTCAGTTTGCTGTGAGGAGGATTTATAGACTCAGCCTCAGACAGCACAGTTGTTCTTACCCATTAGAAATCTGGGCTTAACGCCCTCCCTCCCTCTCCTACAGAATTTCAAAGTGCCTGGTTTATTTAAATTAATAGATTGACTCCTATTGCATTCCTCCCCTCCTTCCAAATCCAGGGGTTGGATTAATTCTTCTGCATGAGTCTGTTGGGTGCTGCTGGCTCAGCAGCTGTGTGTCATTGGCTGCTCTCAGCAACCAAAAAGAAATGCTGATGGAATCTGCCTGCTTTTGTTCACAGAAAGATGAGCCAGATGCGTTTAAGGAATTGGGAACAGGCAACAGAATTGCTACTTGGTTGTTTTATGTAAGTGATACATTTCTGCCACCTGTCACTGCATATTCTATACCATGGAATGATTTAATCCTTGCTTTTCTCTCACTCTTTTTTACTGAAGGGACTTGCAAGTGAAGCAGCCACTAGCTTTGGGGTAATACATACGGGGAAGGTTTTCTTACCCAGACTTCGTGGTTCTTCTATGTGTCTTAAGGAGGGTTTCCCCCCTGAATTTGAGCATTAGCTTAAATTATTTGCCTGCCTGTTTATTTTTGTGTCTGCATCAGCATGTCCACTGCCTTAACAATCAAGTGGGAGGGACAAGGCTGGGACTGTACTGGGAACAGAGGGGGTTTGGCCTTCTTAAGGGATTTACATTAAAATTAAACTTCACTTTTATGAAAAAGTGAGATTTTTATCAGCCTGAATTCACCTGTTGTTCTCTACCTGTTCAGATGAGTGATGTGTCAGCAGGGGGAGCCACGGTCTTCCCTGAAGTGGGAGCCAGCGTTTGGCCAAGAAAGGTGAGCAGGATTGATCCAGCAGATAAAACCACTCCCTCCCCACCTACCCACACAAACAGAGCTTTAAAATGAACCTCTGAAATATTTGTAAGCACCTCTGTGCTGTCCTAACAATGCTGTAATTTCCTTAAGTGCAGCAACTGGATTCCAAGAGCCCCAATAGTCCATGTGTGAATGCAAATGCAAAACCTTTAAATACTCCAAAACACATCTTGAAAATACTCAAATCTGTGAGTTGATTTAGTCTTGAGGCATCTGTAGTGAATTCTCCTGTCAGTTTTTTCCTTCCAGCAAGGTTTGCCTTTGCTGGCCTGTTGCTCAGCTTTAGTAATTAATCTTGGCTTTCTTAAACTGGTCAGGAGTTGAATGAAACTGGCTTAGGATTTAAAAAAAAAAATAAAAAATTAAAAGCCAAGTATATAGACATGTCAAAAGAGATTTATTCCTAAGGAAACAAATGATAGAATGTGGAAAAGAGACTTTGAAGGGACTCTCAGTTGAAAAGGAGAATCTGAAACACAAATGCACCTCCCTTTGCCTCAATGGGTGTTGTACAGAGCAAAGGGCTGAGTGTTCCTGCCCTCCCCAGGGAACAGCTGTGTTCTGGTACAATCTCTTCCCGAGCGGAGAAGGCGATTACAGCACGCGGCACGCGGCCTGCCCGGTGCTAGTGGGAAATAAATGGGGTGAGTACCTGCCTCTGACCCGAGTCTGGGCACTCCTGGGAGGGTGGCATGGCTTTATTTTACCTTTGGACTTGAGAAATTATGTTCTTTGTAAAGAAATATATTTAATTTACTTGATCTACCTCCTATCTCTCTATATGTTAAATACATTCTATATAGCAGCATACTGCATTACGTGTATAAAGGAAATTAATACCGTATCCACTTTAAGAGTTTTTGTAGCTTTGCAGCCATACTGGAAGGTTTTGTTGTTTGGCTGTTTATTTTTATTAGACCAACTTCACACATTTGTGCAGGGCAGTGGGGTTGGAACGAGGGAGTCTTTCTTAAGGCCCCTTCCAACCCAAACCAATATGTGATTAGAAAATTAAGATTAAATTAAGCAACCTGTGCTTAACCAAAAGCTGGCTAGAGCGTATTTAGCTTCAGCAGGAGCTGACCACGTGCAGTGACCCAATCCCTTTGTGTCTTTGCAGTCTCCAATAAATGGCTCCACGAGCGGGGGCAGGAATTCCGCCGGCCGTGCACGTTATCGGAGCTGGAATGAGGCAGCCTGGGCTCCTGTGTACTCCATGTGTGGGAAATGCACACACCTGCCAGTTTACAACTGACTAACAAACACTCCACTGCAGGTTCACCCCCGCCCACGCCGCTGTGGCAGCTGTGGACAGGACAAAACGTGCTTTTAGTTCCCTCCAAACCCCCCCCCAAAAAAGGTTTATCGACAGAAAATAACGAGGTTGACAAGTGTTACTGGAAAAAAAAAAAAAAGGACAAAATACAGATGAGGGCCACAACTTACAGTGGTGTTGTGTGTGGTGTTCCTGTCACCATCATCACTCTGAGCAGTGTGGGCAGCCAGGGGTTGTCTGGAGTCCTCCTCACACCTGCCAGGCTTAGGGCAGGATGGTTGCCTGGGAGGGCTCCCTTCTAAGGAATGCTGAATTAAAACCCATTCCTATTCCTCAGTTCCCAGACACTCCACTCTTGGCTTTCCTCGAGTGCCTGACCACTGCAGGCACACTTTGTTTTTTCCTCTGGAAAACCAGGTTATTAGAGTGTTTTAGCCTGGTTTTCCACTTCCACAAAAGCCCCACTTTTTAAACTTGTCTTTCTTCTCAGCCTGTGTGGAGAATCTGGCTCTTAATCTTGGCCACACGAGCCAGCAGCTCCACAGGCAGAGTCAGGATCGTTCCACAGTGTCAGAGCAGCCTGGGAACACCCACAGCCCATCTCCCCTCCTCTTCTGCATGTTTGTCCACACAAACAAATGCTGCTTTTGTTCTGTCCTGGCAGCCAACTCTTCCCTCTGCTCCTTGGGCAGTGGGGACGGGGATCTTCCCATCTTCATTAATCAAAATTGTCGTGCCTTAGGACACTGGAATTTCAAATTGGTTCTGAGACTTCAGGTGCTGAGGTAACACAGAGTCCTCACAGAACGCTCCCTGCCCTTATCCTCCTCCCAGCTCTCAAGGTTTCAGGAGAAACTCTCAGCCTATTTATAGTCCTGAACCTTTTTTAGATGCAGGCTCACTTTCCTGAACCCTTTCCCTTTCACAGGAGGATTTTTAGCAAAATATCCTACTCTATCTCAGTAGCATGAGGACAAAAATCAAAGGAAGCTGCACCTGGCCTCTACCTAAACAGTCCAATTTTCTGGATGATGATGATGATTCTACTGATTTAGGGGTCAAGCCTGAAGTCTTTACCAAGGGAAAAATTCCAATTTTGGTTAATTGGATTTTCTGCCTCAATAAAATCTTGACAATTGAGCCAAAACGTACAAAACCTATTGTTAAACGTGCTAGAAATACCTCTGGATTAATGGGAATGCAGTTTAAGGTACTAGAGTTGGAGGAACTGCATACTTTTGGAAGACACTTTAAAAAAGGTCTTTGCTGGAAAATAATTGTTAAATTTTTACTGAGCCTGGTAGCAGTGGGACCTTCAGAACTGCCCCTCCTTAGCCCTGCACCTTCCTGAATTTTGCCTGGCTTTTGGCAGCTGGAAAACAAGGTCCATCCATAATGTGAGAAGTCTGCACAGTCCCACCTCCCACCTGTGCTGCTCCTTTACCTAGAGCAGGAGCTGATCAAAAATAAATTCACCCCAGAGGTGCTGATCTTTGAGCACTAAATTGTAATAATTAAAAAAAACCCCCAAATCCATAAGATTTATGCCTGAGTTTTCTCACTTTTCCATCAGTCTCCCTCTCCATGGTTCTCTCTTTTCTCTTAGTTTGTGAAGCTCCAAAGAGGTAACTGTGGCTGCAGGTACCTTCCACCACATCCCTGCAAGTAAAAGGGAACAATGAACAGTGGGGTGTTGGCAATCCTGCCTTTGGGGCATCCAGAAATGTTTGTAGGGAAGCCAGTCCTGCCTAGTAAAGGAGCACAAAACAAAATTGCCATCAGGAACAGGTGTGGAAAACTCTTGCATTTGCTCTTACTGTCCCATCTCTGTTCAACAATCACCAAAGCATGAAAAAAAAGCCAGAGCTGGGGAATTTTGTTCAGCAATTCCCTCCCTCACCTTCAATACCAGTGAGTACTTCCAGTGTTAGACAGCATCAGTCTCAGGCAGTGCTTGGGGAGTACAAATGTTCTGGTGCACGACTTTGGAACAATAAATCACTCACAGATAATTCTTCAGGAAAGAATTTTCTACTTTTGACAGCAGAAAATTTTATTTGGCTAAAGGAAAAACAAAAATCTCTCAAAATTAAATTTTGAGTCTGCTGAGGCACATCAGGAATGTTCCAGATTATGACAACAGGGTTGGCTTAGATTTTTAAAGTGCAGACAACCCCTGTTTCCTCTCTCTCTCCACTGCAGTGGTTCCCATGCATCCAATGCTGACTGTGTAAGGGATTACACTGGTGCTGCTGCTTCTGCCTTATCCCATCATTTCTCAGAGGGCTTTTGGATCCCCCAGCGTGGCTCCTGTGTGAATCTAGTTTTGTATTAAACATGATTGAAAAACTGTCTGGGCTCACAGTGACTGACAACTGAGAAACTGCCTTACTGTTACATTATTTTTTTTTTTTTTTGTAATAAAGTCTTTAATGTATTAAAATAAAAAAAAAGTGAACAGGCTTAAAATAAAAGCCACTGCCATTAGCAGTGAGAAATCCTCCACATCCAACTCTCCTCGTATGTGGCTGCTATAAATCTGATCACACAGAGTTTGATCACCATTTGTGGAAAGCAAGCTGCTCTGTTTCCCTTCACCACCTCACTGGGCGGGTGCAGGAGCTGCTCCTACCCCAAATTCCTGTTCGACACTAAACTTTGTGTCTCCACAGCACTAAAGGACTGTGAGACGGGAGGGCAGATAATGCTGGCCTGAAAAAGCAGGGTCAGCTGCTGAGGCTCCCTTTTCCAGGGGTGACAAATCTTTATTTTGTGAAGCCAGAAGGTCAAACAACCACTTCCCCTGGAATGGTTCTGGGGAGGGGAATAAAGCACCAGAGATTGCAACAGCACAGTGAACTCACACGTGGGAAGGTCAGGCTGGCCTCTCCCATAACCAAAACCTCTGGGGTTTGTACACCACAGCCCTCCTTAATGTAGAGACTGAAACTCCTGGCAGTGGGAAAAAACGTGGCTGGGACTGCAGTGTGCCTGAGGTAATCCTGCAGAGCTTGTGCTTAATTCCCATCGTCAGGAACCTGGATAAAAAGCACAGCAAGGGCTGCTGAGAGGCCTCCATCCTTTTGCTCCTGTGCTGCCGATGGAGCACTTGGCTTGCAGGTAGAGAACTGCCCCCAACACAGCTGATGTGCTCACACATTTGGCAGCTGTGGCACAGGAAATAAGCCTAAAGTGCACCAACACTCTTTTATTTTGGAAAGGTGATGGGGTTCCATCATCTCCTGCTGCTGAGCTGCTGCTCTGCCCCAGCCAAAACGTGCTTTGGAGGAAGGGAAGGGCTCTGAACAGCCCTGTTCCACCCCATCAGTGACTTCCCACTGTCCTACCTGAGGCTCCTCTGGCACAGCCGCACTTGGAGCGTGGCCATGGGGGGTCACCAGCATGGGAGGAACTGAGCTGAGGGTCCAGGGTGGGGACCTCAGCAGCTGGAAATGCAGGGTAAGGTCAGAGACAGGGAAAAAGGCCTGTGACTGGCACAGGGCAGGATAAGATGAAGAGAAAGGAAAGGGTCTGACAGGATCATAGAATCCCAGAATGGTTTAGGTTGGGAGGGACTTAGAGCTCACCTAGTTCCACCCCCTGCCATGGGCAGGGACACCTTCCACCAGACCAGGCCTTGTCCAACCCGGCCTTGGACACTTCCAGGGATCCAGGGCCAGCCACAGCTTCTCTGGGCAGCCTCCTCAGGGCCTCACCACCCTCACAAGATAGAATTTCTTCCCAATATCCCTACCATCCCTTCCCTCTGGCAGTTTGATGCCCTTCTCCCTTGTCCTGTCACTCCGGACCCTTGTCCAAAGTCCCTCCCCAGCTCTACCAGAGCCCCTTTAGGCACTGGAAGGGGCTCTGAGGTCTCTGCAGTTTCCTCTCCAGGCTGAACAATCCCAGCTGTCCCAGCCTTTCCTCCCAGCAGAGCTGCTCCATCCCTCTGCTCATCCTGGTGCCTCCCCTGGCCTCTCTCCAGCAGCTCCAGGTCCCTCCTGTGCTGGGCCCCAGGGCTGGGGCAGCTCTGCAGGTGGGGTCTCACCTGAGCACAGGGACAGAGGGGCAGAACCTTCTCCTACAGCCGGGGGAAAGGCAGCACAAGGCTGAAGGGACCTGCACAGGGACTGCAGAGACTGGACCTGCCCACACTCTTGGCCCCCATCAGGGAGGGGGTCTTTGACCACCCCCAACCAGCCTCCCCCGGCTGCTGGACTCTGACCTCGGAGGGATTTGGGTATTTCATCATCGAAATATGATCCTTCCCATAATCAGTGACTCACCCGGCTGCTTCGGATCCCCCACTGACCCGAACCACCTCTTCCCCCTGCCGAACACCGACCAGAGCCAGGAGAAGGAGCTCAGCCCCTCAATCCCGCGTCCTCCCCAGCACAGTGCCACGGGAAGGATCCTGGCACAGCCAGGGGAAGGTGGAATCGCAGCCCCAGGAGCCGATGCGGAGTTTTCCCAGCTCCATCAGGGATGGGGGCTCATTCCCCCATCAGGGAGGGGACAGGCCGGGTGTAGCCCCTGTCCCTCCCCATCCAGGAGCGCTGCCAGCAGCCCCGCAGTGTCCCTGGGAACGCGTGACTCACCACGGCCCGGGGCCGCTCTATATTTAAAGCATTACGGAGGCAGAAATGAATGCACGCAGGCAGGAGCTGCCTGTGCCGAGGTCAGCGCCAGGTTCGCAAAGCAATCGTCAGAGTTCACCACCGTGGCAAAAAAAAAAAAAAAAAAAAAAAAAAAAAAAAAAAAAAAAAAGCATCCGCACCCCTTAAACCTTCAGAGAGAGAAAAGCTGGCCAAGGGAAGGGGTTTTTGTGGCTGGAGTGGGTGGAAGCGAGGCCACCCCTGCAGGGTCCCACTGTGCACGTCCACAGTCGGGAAGTTCCTCGCTGCTGCAGCTGCTGAGCCACTCCCCGAGGGAAATCTGGAGGTTACTTTTACCCAATCCTACATTTTTCCCGCTCTTCAGATCTCGAAGTTTGGGTGCAACCAAGCTATTTGCAGCTGGACCGAAAGGCTCTCAGGAGGCTGGTTTAGGGAGGGAAGGAAGGAGAGCAGCTCATCCCCGGGCCAGGGCAAAGGGGCTGCCACGTTTTGGAAGAGCAGTTAAACTGCTTTTTATTCACAAACCTTTGCTTTGGGACCAGTGACAAACTAACAGGAAAGTTTCTGACTCCTCTTTACCCAGGCTCTGCTCTCTGCCAGCTGCTCCCTCCCCTCCCTGTTCGGTTTTCCTAATTCCAATTGATTTTGCAAACAGCTTCAGAGCCGCCCGCTCGCGGCTGCACGTCCTGCTCATGCCACATTCCCCGTGGTTTGCCTCCTCTGCGGTCCTGCCAGCGTTTCTTCCCCTCTCCCTTTGCCTTCAGCAGCACATGGATCAGTCACCAGGGACTGAGGGATGACAAAGAAAGCTGTGCTCTGGAACTGCCTCCAGAACAACCCTAAAAGGCTCTACATAAAAGCAGGACACCACGCAGAGACACCCAGAGGCTCTCAGACATTTCCAAGCTATTCCCAAATAGCTGTGCTGCTCTTTCCTACATTAATTTCTGCCAGGCTGTTGGCAAAGGCTGGGAGAGCTGGGACTGCAAACTGGAGTGCCAGGCAGAGCAGGGATTGAACCAGCAGAGACACCAAAGGCTCCACTCACTGCAAGACACAGCGTGGGGCTCTTCAATCCAGTTTGCCCTGCACTGGGGCTCCTGACAACAAATTCCAGGGACCATTTCCACCCATGACTGTCACCAGCATGGTCTGAAGAGCAGGAGAGGCCCGAGCTCTCCAGTGCTCCTGCAGGAAAGTCCTCACTTCCCCAGCACCCCCTCTGCCCTGTGCCAGGGGTGACACAGATGTCACAAAAGGCATACTCTAGACAGGGATTTGCTGATTCCTAAGCTGCCAACCTCCCTTTCCCAGTTTTCTCTGCCTCTGGGTTTACCTCCCCAAAAGGCAAAGCTGGTTTGAGGTTGCCCTGGGACCTCCTGCACTCCTAAATGTCCCCCTCACCCATAACTCAGCCCTGGCAGCCATGGGCCTCAGAAGAGATGGAACAAGCAGGCAGCAGCGGCCTCTGGCCCCACACCATTTCACAGGAGAGGGACTAACCAGCTTGTTTGCTCCCTTCCCCACTTCTCTGACTTACCCATCTAAGAACCCAAGCCTTGGCTGCAGTTCCTCCTCCTTATCCCATGTCTGGAGCTCATCACCCAGGGCCACAGGCAGTGCCATGGAGCTCTGGCCCTTCAGAAGCAGCAACGCAGCAGAATCTCCTGCAAAACAATAAAATGCCAGAATTTGCATCTGTGTTTGGCACAGATCTGAAATGCCTGCAGCCCAGCTCCTCCTGAGAGGCCGTGCTGTGCTGGGGCACATCTGAAAAGCTTTCTAACAGCAGCCAGAGCCCTCCTACACCATTTCCCTTCTCCATTCCTTGTGAGTCGTTTGCTTTGTCTTTTGCTGTTGGTGTTCATTTGGTTGCTTTCTTTTTAATGAGCAACTCTGAGCCCTCCACCAGCTGAGCAGCCCCTGGGTCCTGGCAGGCCTGGTCCCACTCCAGAACCAGGACCTGCCCCACAACCCATTCCCTGGCTCGGGTTTCAGCGCCAGCCTTTCCTCCCGCTCACCTGTGCTATACACGTTTAATTTACATCTCACAGGAGCTGTAGCAACCAGCCACATCACATCAGCCCCCAGTGCACATCAAAGGCAAGCGCTCACCCACCACACTGATCCTGGAATAGCCCTGAATGCAGTGTTTGTAACCCCAAACTACTCCAAGCTGCTGGATCAACCCCTCGGAGGCTCCGTGGGTTTGCTAGGAGCGATCCCCCCAGCAGCTAGGCCGGGTGAAGGTCTCATCCCGCCCCTCAGGTAGCCAGGAGGCCTGAGGAGAAGGCAAGGGGCGCCCCTCAGCCTGCCCCAGCAGCAGAAATTTTGGACAGCCACTCTTCATCTGCCGGCAGAGGCTGGGGAGGGAGCGAGGCGGTCCGTGCGGAGCCCCGGGGCACAGACCCCACTCCCGGGAGCTGCTCAGGGGCCTGGCCCGGCGGGATTGTGCAAACTCCCAGCTCCGGGAGCTGAAGCCGCTCCGCATCTCGGCGCTGCACTTTGCCCCCCGGCTGCGGTGAGCTCAGGCCGGCTCAGCGTTTAAAGTCCAGGCAGAGGGCAGGCAGCGGCTGTGCGGAGCTCAGCTCTGCTGCCCGGGGCTCGGCACTGCGGCATGCGGCTGCTGCTGCAGGCAGCGCTCCTGTGCCTCACCCTGCGCTGGGGCCGCGGCACCCGTGAGGAGAGAGCCGACAGCCCCGGCCTGCAGGAGCCGGCACCGGAGCCGTCCTACTCCGACTGGGGCATCGACACCATCCGCGGCGGCTTTGAGACGGTGAACAGCTACTTCGACTCCTTCCTGGAGCTGCTTGGGGGGAAGAACGGCGTCTGTCAGTACCGATGTCGGTATGGTAAGTGAACCTCTCTGCTGCTGGCTCCCCTCTCCTTCC